GCTTTGTTAATATTTAGGCACCCACATACTCCACATAGGTTGATCTGAGTCTGTGCAGGGTTAACAAAGTTTTTCTGCATCCCTGCTATATAGATAGTAATTCAGAGGTGACTTTTCCAAGTCCATACAGCAAAGCCGTGATTTTTGAAGGAGAAATAGGGAGAAGTTTTAAGTATGTAGGTGAGGGAAGGGTGGAGCAGCTACATTAAAATATCCCTTTTTTTATTTTTGCTTTGTCTCCTTGGCATGCAAATTGCATTGAGTTAGACTGCTGTGCATCTGAGCAGGTGCTGGGGAATCAGTGTAATGGAAGACCTAAATTGGCTGTGACACCATTTCATCAGGCATTTTGGCTGGATACCTGCCTGATTTGCTTTTTTTGGTTGTGCCCTGGTTGTTTCCATATCATTACAACTGGAAACAGTCCAGGATACATTCATTTTGCAAGGCTGACCTGTGTTCTGGGGTATTATCCAAACTAAAAATTGAAGTCTTACAAAAATTGTGTTGCACTTCCCGCACTGTTCTCTATCTGGTGTTTAATGTTTTTCTCAAACTAAAAAACCACATAGACGTAGCTATAAGCAAACCCAGTTTGTGAATCAGCTTGGCACTTCCAAGGCCCATATTGAGACAAATGAAATCTGTTCCTGCTGCTGTACGTGCTGTACCTGCATCGTGCTCTGAGGCCCCAGATGCTTGTAGAATTACACTTTATTAGACTTACAAATGTCTTATTTTTGCCAACTGCTGCTGTTGCCGCCAAACACAGCACTCTTTCAAATTGGCTTATACCATATACTCTGTGAATATATGTATTGCACAGCTCTCGGTGTGTTTCATCTCAATGCGGTTTCTTAAGTAGAAACAAACCAATACATTTCCCGAAGCTCAAGGCAAATTTTGTTTCTGTTTCTCTTGGGATATGAGACAGAATAGATATTGCTTATTGTACATCCCCTGCAGATGACTTGGCAGAGAATGACAATATTTCCTTGTTTTAGGGTTTATTCCTTCTCTTAGCTATGCATGGACTAGGACTAGACCCCCTCTGCAGTGCTTAGCTACCACACATTTGAAAGACGAGGCTTATAATATGCAACTGCCTTGAGTTCATAGGAAGGAGATACTGCCATGAGGTGGTTTTTGGTCTACGTGATTTTACTTACTTAGCAGGGGAGATATCCTGCTTGGCCTCTAAAGACTTGGGGTGATTAGAAGGTGAAGACCTGTCCCTGGTGCTGTGGGCAGGCTGACCCCTTTGAGAGTATAAATGCCTCCAGATGCGAGGATCTTTGCAACACGATTTATGGTGATGGGGAATTGCTCTCAGGCTTTACTTCTAGGTTGCTCCTTTGGCCTTTTGGCTAGGGGCAAGTGAGACTAGGGGGCAGCTGAACTCCAAGGCCTCTGGGCTTGGGGCTTGTGCATAGGATGTCTGCCATGGATTTGGGTATTTGAAGCCCTGAGCTGAACAGCCTGGGAAGTAGGATACTTGCCAGTGGTAGCGCCGCCGACTTGAATGATGGAGCTGTGCTCAGTCAATAGGATTCAGAACTGACTTGGCCCAGGACATGACATTTTAAAAAAAGAAGAAGAAAGAAACACATTATCTGTGTCAAAACCCAGGTTGCGGAGCCAAATGAGAGCTGTAGCAAACACATAGCCAACATCTCACCCCTTTGTTTGCCCTTAACTCCATTTAGGTGGGTACAACAAATAATACATATGTAACAGTGACAAAGCTTTGGCCAAGGAGAATGCTGTGCATTTCAAGCCTGGGCAGGAAATGCTGTTTACTTTTGGGGGGAATTGCTGGCATATAGAAGAGAAATCCCTCAATGTTGTCAAAGCCCACGCTGGCTAGACGATGGAAAGGTGAAGAGAAACAGCGCACTGGTTCCTCATGGCCTCTGTGAATATACAGGTGGCATTAAGTGTAATGTGCCAGTTGGCAGCACAGGGTCTGAATAATAAGCCATTTTAGGTGTTTATTTCATAACAGAAGGGAAGGAATCGCACATGCCGATTTTGAGCCTTCCCTTCGTGTCTTTCAGGGCAGCTTTGTCTAGACAGAGGTGTCAGATTATTTCTTCACTTCTGCCTGGTGCTACCCACGGGAGATGGAGAGTCTGGGTAGGGAGGCAATGTGATATAACAGTGGGAATAAGAAATGGGGAGTTGGGGCTGCTGGGTTTTGTCCCTACCTGGTCTGTGACCTGGGTGAGTCAAGTACTTGGTTTTGTGTTGCCCATTTGGGAAGTGGAGATAAGGTACCTACCACATGAAAGTACTTGAGGTCTATTATTGCTAGCCCCTAACAACAGCACCACTAACCAAAGAGTCCCAGCAAGCGCGTGGTATTACTTTGCATACTCAAAATAATTCCCCTTCCCTTCACCTGCTCCTGCTACCTGAGAGTTGCTACTGGCGCTCTGAAAAGCTACAGGGCCCAAACAGTAGAAGCCAGGAGTGTGCATGGGATCGGGGTGGACTGGGATAGGTTAGGTTTAATTTCAGCTCCTGGCCCTAGGATCAAAAGTGGTCCCTTAATTCTCCATGTTCGAAGATCTCCAGAGAAGTCCCCCGGACTCTGATTTCTGGATCCGGGCCCCACCTCAGTTTGAGGCTGTCGGACTGCCAAGTGCTGGTGTTGAACAAATTCTTATGAGACGCTGAATGAGAAATGAAGCCCCAACTTCTGGGTTTTTTTCATCTGGCTTTTTTCCCTCCTCTGTATTTATTTCTGGCAAGGTGTCAGTGAAGCAAAGGAATTCCTGTCCCTCTCCCCCGCCCTCCATACAGAAGACACCTGAGCAGGGCTCGCCGTGTGTGCCTTCATTTTGGGCTCTGCTAGTGCATGACAGATCCCCCCGTTCACAATGACGCACGTCATCCGTCTTAATGAAGATTCACTCCTTTCTCTGGAACGTCTCATACCATTAGCATTTATGGAGGAGAAATGTGCTGCATTGTGAGCTCACTGTCATGCTCCACTCAAGACAATGCTTCTGTTCTCCACGGTAAATGGACGAGATTTAGTCCATCTTTAGAAATGTGCTAAATCACGTGGCTCCTCTCCATGATGTAAGATTTTTGGCAGCTGCCAGAGTTTGCAGGAACAGGGCCAACAACATCCAATATCTCAAGTTTAGGAGATTTACCACTGGACCTTGAATTTGGTAGGAGTAATGATTGTTTATCCCAGGTTTGAATTCAGCTTGATGTCTTTACAAGCTGCTGGAAAGCAGCCCCAGCTTGGGGAATCTATGCTCTGAAATCTTTTTTTTTTAAAAATGGCAGCCCTTAGGGACCAATTTATTCAGTCGACAGAGCTTCTAGGCTCTGTGACTGTTTTGCAACAGTAGCAGGGGTGAGGACTAGAGTCCGGTATAATCTGAGCCATTCGTTGTCTGATCTTTGTCAGTCTTCTTTGAATTCACAAACCTTTGGAGGTCTCTGGTAATCCCTCCTGCTCCTATAAGAAATGGTACTGATGGCTTGGTAGTTGTCATGCTCTTCCCTAGCCTAGGGTTAATGGGGGCTCTACTGCCATCTACAACACTTTTAGGGTCCTCGTTACCAGGGAGGGATCCAGAGAGGGTCGCACACACACTTCACCCCCTTGGCTCTGGAGCTGTGTGAAAACAGAGGCTCTGGCCAGACCCCACCCTGAACAGCTGGTGAGCACAGAGCTCACTGCTCACATACAGCTCCAGCAGGAGCCTGCACTGACCAAGCAGCAGGCTCAGAGCTCGGTGGGCATGCGTGGCACAGCCAAAATTGGGGCATTGCACCTTCCCTCCCCCACACCCCCATCTTGCTCCTAGATCCACTGCTGCCTTTTACAGTTCTCCATCTTCATCTTATTTTCTTTCCTCCTGGCACCCGTTGAGGACGTTCCTAATATACATTTTTCACATAAGGAACCAAGGTGCTAAGACCAAGTGCATTGCGCACAGGGAGTCTGTGACAAATGAGACTTTAACCCAGGTTCCTCAAGCCTAAGCTAGTCCTTCTGACCACTAAACCAGTCTTCCTCTTTGCTTCTGTTATAGGCTCTACCTTTTATTTCACACATCTGGTACAGTAAACCTTGCGTGCCCAATCTGGACCCCAGATGGTTTTTTTGGGTGCTAGATCCTGTTCCAACACATATGAAAGCAAAGTCCTTGTGCCAAAGGATGCACAGTTTAAAAGCTGCAAGAGGTATCGCACACTGCCTTTTACGTGGGGCTGCTCTGGGAAGCTAAACCAGTTGCCGGATTTTGTCTCAGAGGTGGCTTCACCTCCCTAGCAGGTAAAGCGGCCCATTTATGTCATCTGTACATCTTGTTGGTGGAGTGTATAGAGCATGCTGGGATCTCTCCAGATGAACGGCATCATAATTTTAGCTCAGGCTAATGTGATTTTTTTCAATAACCTTTGCTGGTGCCAGGCACAAATACCAGCCAGGTATTTGTTTGTGTATCGGTGGGAGTCTCTCTCCCTTGCACTGCATTATTTGCATACGAAGAGCAAAACACCAAACTGACAAGCTTCTGGACACAAGTTAATTGAGAACATGACAAATTCCTTCCTTTGTAGCTGCTTAGGAGAAAATGCCTCAGTTACGTCATGTGCAGCTAATGCATCTTCTTGCAATTCGGTGAAGCATGTTTGTGCTGTCTAAGTGGACAGTTGGGGATGTAAGTGTTATCACATCTCAAACACTGGCAAATTACCTTGTAAAATATTCAACCCATGTTAAAAACAGCAAAAGGAAAAACTAGAGTTCTCAGCTCCTTTGTTCTCGGTCTGGAAAGCAAAGGCTATCCATTGGAAAGCAGACTTGTAATGTGTGCGATTGGTGAGCATAACTAATGAATTTCCAAAAGGTCACCGCTGATAATTCCCACCTACAGTTTTGCTCATGTTTAACCTTCATGGGGAGAGAATTTACATAGAAAGTGCATATTTGATGTTGTTATCAAATCAATCAATCTCTTCTTTTCTTCCAGGAGGAGGGCTGAGAACTACTGAGGGATAGCCAGACTGTATGATGCAGGAAACTCCACCAGCAATAAACGTTCCAGCTGGCTATAAAGATCAAATGACACTTGGGCTGGTTCACAACAGACATTCAAGGGGAAGGTTTTGGAGTGTCGAGCGCAGAATTCTCCTAGACTGAGCTCAGCAGATGGAAAGTGCTTTACCTCTGTCAATCCAAAAAGTGCTTTACCTCTGTCAAGTCTTATGCCTATTGGATGAAAAATGGGGGCCACGTATAGAGAGAGGACAAGAAGGAGAATAGCATTACCTTGCTGAATTACAGGCTTTGGAGGAAGAAAACTGGGATCTGAATCCAGCTCTCAAGTTTGAATATTGTCACCAGAATTCGGGGGATGATGGCCATGTTTGGCCAGCTAGCAGGCTGTGGCACATATCTGGGCTCTGCCTTTAAATACTGCAGTCAGTTCACTTGACTCCACTGAGTAACTACACCTGAGGTGAGAGCAATAAAAGGCCAAGAAGAGATACTACAATACCAGCTAGACTATTAGTTCACTATTGTACTGCAGACTTGAGAGAGAAACGCCAGAGTAGCTGAAACATTTAGCAGGCTGATCTTTTAATAGCAAGAAAAATAAACTCGTTGTGTTTTGATAGGAAGACCTATTTCTTTTTTAACGATTCTGTGTTCCCAATTTCCAAGCTGTTTGGAGACTTCTCCCCCACCATCTATTTTGAAAAAAACCTTTTTGGGCTGCTGTTTGTTTTCGCTGCATCTGCACATCGAGAAGCCTCTTCTTCTCTTGAAACCGTGGGCTCAGAGCAAGAAAACCCCCAAGCTTCTGCGGATCATGACAGGTTTTATTTGAAAACATGCTTGTGACCTGGAAGCTGTTTGCCTATCCCAGTTTTTTCAAGTAACAAAGGAAAGGACTGTGCCCGTGATGGCAGAGAAGTGCGACTGCATTGCCAGCATGTATGGCTACGATCTGGGCTCCCGCTTCATCAACTTCAGTCCCCTGGGCTTTGGTGTGAATGGACTGGTTCTGTCCGCAGTGGACAGCAAGAGCTGTCGCAAAGTGGCGGTGAAGAAGATCGCCATCAGCGATGCACGGAGCATGAAACATGCCTTCCGAGAGATCAAAATCATCCGTAGGCTTGACCATGACAACATCGTGAAGGTGTATGAGGTGCTGGGGCCAAAGGGGGCTGACCTGCAAGGGGATTTCTTCAAGTTTAACATGGTGTACATAGTCCAGGAGTACATGGAGACTGATCTGGCTCGGTTACTAGAGCAGGGGAAGCTGACAGAGGAACACGCCAAACTCTTCATGTACCAGCTCCTCAGAGGGCTGAAGTATATTCACTCAGCCAACGTACTACACAGAGACCTCAAACCTGCCAATATCTTCATTAGTACGGAGGACCTGGTGTTGAAGATTGGTGACTTTGGGCTGGCGAGGATTGTGGATCAGCACTACTCACATAAGGTATGTGGAATGACAACCACTGCTGCTAGTTCTTTTAATGAGATTTTCTTCAGACTATTTCCTTAGCCCTGAACCTCCCTTCTCCACTCAGCCCTCTAACCCATGGGATCATTCATCATTGAATTCATGTTCAGTTCGGGCCGGTAGTCTAGGTTCTGAGTGCAGTGAACCAGACCCGTGTCCTTAGGATCCCATACACCAGATTTACTTTATTCCTGATTTATTTTTGTTATCCTCATGTGAGAGCAGTACTTGTGCCATTCCTATCTCTTCAGCCTCTTGCTATCTTCCTGTTTGTACTAGAGTGCTTTTTCTGATGGGCATTATTTTCTGGGCACTTGCTGCAACTGCTTGAAACATCTTCTGTTGGTATCCCGTTTCCATGTGCCCTCCCTCCTGTCCCCTCCCTCCCCAAAGATACATTTCTGGGTATCAGTGCACAGAATCGCCGCCTCTCTCTCTCTGAGCCGATTGTAGCACCGTGATTCTAGTACCGAGGTCTGAGTAATCTTTGTCCTCACTTCTGTGCTATGTGCCCTTGGTTTTTCATTTGCAGGACGTTTCTATTTGCAGCTTGTCACTTCATGATCTACCTGATATTAATAATCAATCTGCTGCAACAGGCAGTCAAATTCCATAGTCCAGAGAATAGTCAGAAGAGTTTTTTACTGTCTTTCTCCCATATATGTTCCCCTGTAGAGAGATCACTAAAATGAGTTTTGCCCCCGTTTACTGCCTGGGCTCACATGGGATTTTGGTTGCAATGGAGCAAGGCTCATTAGTGCTGTGTATACATCACTGATGAGCTCTTGGATAGCTTTGCTGAAGTTTCCTTAGTTTCCCTTCAAGCCTATGGGGCTCGGAGACAGTTGAAAGCAGTTCAGTAAATGAAGAAAGATTTCCTTGCTTTAAATAGGTAGTAACCACTAGTTGTTGAGTTCCTGCTCTTTACTGACTTAGGGGAGGGAAAGA